ACTACTACTACTACTACTACTACTACTACTACTACTACTACTCTTCTCTTCTACTACTACTCTCTTCTACTACTACTACTACTACTCTCTACTACTACTACTATTACTACTACTACTACTGCTACTACTACTACTACTACTACTCTCTACTCTCTACTACTACTACTATTACTACTACTACTACTACTTCTACTACTACTACTACTCTACTACTACTACTTCTACTACTACTACGACGATTACTACTACTACTACTATTGCTACTACCACCATTACCACTTTTTGAGCCGATGCTCAACCCCAACCATCCTCAGTGGGCTAGAATATTTTTTGTTTGATTCCTTGTTTATTTTTTGATCCCTTACCCGCGACGGCCTGGAAGCGGTCCAGCCCCTCAGCAGCTCAGCTGCCTTGGGCAACCGATCAGAGCTCTTTGAAAGGACACTCAACAGGGAGAAAGATACCCAGGTGAGAATGATTCCCCCAAATGACATATCGAAGTGCATACAAAAGTGGGCAAGTAATGTGAAGATTGTAAGGCGTAAGGGAGCAGTCCAGAGTCCAGACTGCTTCAAGGAGGAATTGTACTGTAAAAGGGAACGAAGATACAGCACCAACATACCCAGCCAACAGCCAGCATACAAGCCAACCTCACCAATCTCCAAGGCAAATCACCACCAATAGTTTCTTCCTTCAGATGCAAGATCATCCTGAAGAAGCGGAAGAGTGTTCTGTCTTAAAGAGTCGTGATTGTCATCGCAATCAGGGATTGCATTATAGGTCCTAGGTCCTATGCATTGTTGAGTGAAGGCTTTTCCAACAGACACCGGATGTTGCAAGATTGGGTTGCTTACATGTGGATTGGGTTGGTCTTGGTTCCATTATGTTCCATTTATTGCATGCTTCTATAAGCCGTTGTGTGTGTGTGTTCTGCCTTACAGCCGGCCTTGAGTGTTGCTTACAGTAATTCCTTTGCTGCTTTCTCATTTTCTTCTCGGTGACACCAGATGGTTGACTTTGGCTCTGAATGTGTTTGCGCTACCAGTGGTGCCACGTGCAATCGAATACAAGATGCTCCAGGGCCTTCTCACAAGTACAGTTGGACGGTTTTGCGTTGTGACTCACTAACTACTGGCTTTGGACTCTAGATTCTAGATGTTGGTTTAATTCGCCATGGATCACCCCAAAACTAGCAAGTTTCTGAGAGATCTTGGCTTTGCGCTGGCTATCTAGAATTGCGACGGTCTATCTCGTGATCTTTGTCATGGTTGTCACAAATCCCACACGATACTTTGGGGCCTCTCCATTTTCAATCCGCAGCCAAGCCAAGCCAACCAAGACCAGGCATAGCACTCTGAGTATGTGCGAGATTACTTCTTGCCTCCTTCCTTGTTGGCCGTGCCTTCCCCAGCAAACGAGGCCGAACCAGCCAGCCAAACAACCGACAAATAAGCTCAGTTCTTGCACAGCCAGCAAATCAATCGTGCATGCGGTATGCCCAGAAAACCATGGACCCCGAGAATAGAACCTCGGCAATGGCCACACAAACTGAGCCCTTGGTCCTGCAAGAAGCAGGAACTTTGAGGCTGAAGACCAGCTTGTTGCGCTGCGGTAGCCATCCAGCCACGAGCACTTCAAAAAGAAATGGGCCCAATCCAATTCGCTGTCTGCGGCACGTGGAAAGTTTGGGCCTGCGTAGTGGTCATTCGGGGCTGAATGGTTCAGGTTTTTGCTGCTAGTGTCAAGGGACACATTCCCATTTCCATGGCAGCCGTTTGCAGAGGAAGAATCCTAGCACAGCGCCCAATTGCAGCCACAGCCTCATCGTTTCCCTCATTGCAGGCAATCTTGGTTGACACAGCGCCTGGTGCAAGCAGCGTGGAAAAACTGGCAGGGACCTTGACTCTTGCATCCTCCGCTTTGTTGTAGTCTTTGTTGCCCCAGCTTTTAGTGTGATGACTGACAAGGCTGGAGTGTTGTACACCGCCTTTTTCTCCCTATCAGCAGCTGCTTTTCTTTGCACTTGTCCGAAGCACATTTTCGGCCAACTCATCACAAAGCACATTTCAGCATGACACTGGCAGAAGACGCTGGCAGTGCTTGGCATGCAAGGTCAGCACTGGCTGCGCCTCTTTGACTCCATGGACTTGTCGCAAGATGGAGAAGCTCTCGTGGAGAGCCCTTGGTCCGACACGTGTCCAAAAAAACAGAAAACACAAAAGATAAAACAGGTCTTGACCTTGGAGGTACCGAAATCCGCTGCTATTGGTTTGCCTTCTTTTCCTCTCTCTGGAAGGATTACATGATACTTTGCACCTTGGAGAGTCAATGTTCAGTGCATACAGGCAGAATCAAAGGAACATGTGTCTTGTTCAACTTGCTGAGGTATATGCAAGGCGGTCACCCTGCTTTGAATGGGTCTGTTGGCTCAGCCCAATAAGGATTTTTCTCCTGCTCTAAGGCCAGAGCTAATGAACGCTTGCAGCGCTAGTCAAGAACACAAACCGCAGTAGGATTGCAGCGAAGTGGAATCATGTTGTAACAAGTGAGCTGCACTAAAGGGATTGCCCTCAACAGAAGACGTGCAAATGCAGTGTTGTGGTGGCTTGGCGGTTTGCGGTGCATTACTTTCTGAATCCTGTGGCTGTCACTGCTCTGAGGATGTACTTCTTTTGGCTCTCTCTAATCAGCGTCCTTGCTGCGCTGCTTGGAGTGCGCATTGCGTGGACTTGCCCTCAGAAGCATTTCGAGCTAAAAATCACAGACACCAAAGGTTCCGAGAACCTTGCAAAATTACAGTGCTTCTCAGATTCTAAGCTTAGCAGTCTGACGATGATGCAACCGGGAACTGAAAGATTTCAGCGCAGGACGAAACAAGATCAAACTGCAACCTACCGATAGTAAGGCGTTTGTACACCCGACTACGTTTGAACCTGAGTTGCTTGTTGCTGGTCTTTTGATCAGATGTCAGATAACACCTTCTTTAGTTGACGACCCAGGCCTGTGGCTATCTGCTGACGAAAGAAACATGGTTTTCAGAAGAACGATTATGTCCTCAGCTCTGGCGTGCTACTCAGCACACACAAACCAAACCTCTTTATGTTTTCTTGAGACGTTCTCAATTTTTCTCAATTGCTTCTTATGTCAGGTCTCAGTATGCTCTGCAAGACTCCCAGCCTTTGCGGTGCGTGTGACAAATGTTTACAATAGTAGGTCACATTGTCTACTGAGTCTACTTTCGCCGCAGGTTTGTATGCTGATCCTCAGCGTGCTACAAGCACTAGTGGGTCGGTTCTATCCATGGTGGGTTCCCAAGAGTTGATTTCAAGCCTACGAGCGTGCTCCTAGTAGCGTCCTTGCTCCTAGTGGTACGGCCAGGAGCCCCTAGTAGCGTCCTTGCTCCTAGTAGTACGGC